GGGTTTGGGGATATGCTTCTTGAAAGGAAGACCTTTGATATATATGGATATGAAAGTTCTTGTATTAGACTTAGAACATTGGCTGGTCAATTGTCTCTATAAAGTAGTCCATGAGACAGTAAAACATATCTTAAGTTGCAGTATAGGCACATTTTCCTCTACCAAATTAATGTTTGCTGTCATCTCTTGACGGTGATCCTATGTATCATGATCTTACGAATGGTTCAGCATGTGGTTTCATCAGTAACCGGTGCAAATGTTGCTGGCTTAAGGTCGCATTGCAGTCAGGTTATTTGCTGAGCCATTCACCAAACTCCAGTGAGGATTTTCACAGCTCTGTGGTTCATGAAAAATTCCCGTAGTGGGAGAAGTGGTCGCGTGCATCTTTAGGCTACCATCTTCAGATCCTAAGGCATCAGATGAAAGTTAACGGCATCAGTTGCAGGGTTATTATGGTTGTATAATTACTTTGGGGACTGCAGTTTTCATTCCCGTGTGCCACAAAGTCAGGTTTTGGACCTTGTCCCAGCCTTTCAGAAGGGAGGGATGCCTGTTAAAGGCTTGGTGGGATCTCACAAGGCTGAAATTGGGTGGAGCATGATTTCCACAGGAAAGTGATAAGGGGAAAGCACCACAGTTCTCTTTGTCTCTTCCAGTGACTAGCAGAAGCAGAACACACTGTACATTACAAGCAGATTTCTGAAGATGTATACAGGTAAATTGATACATGGTTTGGAATACCTTGATAGAGACTTTGGGTTTTTAATCAATGCAACGCATGCCTAGTTTTGAACAAAGCCATGATAGTTTCCCCACCCCACCCCCCACACACAGTCCAGCCATGATGTCATGTTTGCAGTTATCACATGATGGAAACATGGAGACTGTGATTTCTGAATATTCTTGCAGTGTGCTGGAATTCGGCTTTCAGTGTGTTGCAGGAGATATGGGACTCATGATGGAACAGATCCTCCCCTTCTCCAAATCTGGTCTGTCTTTCAGTGAAGTCATGCCAACATGCCTCGTTCCATCTCATATCCCTGTATCTCTCAAAACCCATTTCCAGCACACTCCAGCGTCTCCAGGAGCAGAGCCTGGAATAGGGGCTATGCAAGATAGAAAAGCTTTTCTTCTTGATTGTGGTCACCAAAAATAGGATACAGGTTTAGCCCCCTGTCTTAATGCTGCTCCTGCAGTCTACTTTCTGCTGGCTACATGAATGTTTACCATTCGTTCATGTGGCATAAAGATAAAATGCTACACTTGGAGACCTCCTATGAGAGAAAAACCTGCTTTTTTCACGAAGTTTACCATAGAGTTTCTGGTGATTCCTAGAGAGGTTTGGTGTAGCCTTCAGGTTTTCCCAGGAAGTGATGTTATGGTGTTGCCGATGTGTTTGGGGGCTGCAACGTCAACTGCTCCACTATGTCACTTCTGGGAAAAGCCCAGAAGGAATGTAGGTAGCTCTAGGAATATCTGGAAACCCTGGAGTCGCTGGAAAACCGTAATGTTTTCGGTGATCCCTAGAGCTACCCTCTGCACTTACGGTATTTCCCTGGAAGTGACATGATGTAGCCATATTGCTGGCTTTTGGGGTTTTTTTTAATAAAGTTATTTCTTGCTGTCACTTGGAGTGGTGGCAAGCAAACA